CGATCTCGCACGGTCAGTAGGACCACGTTATCCCAGCGGTTTGAAAGCTGGAAATCATCAGCGTTTTTCTGAGTTTCTAACGTTTGTGGTTCTGATTTTAATCTTCCTAATACGAAACAATTACATTTGCTCCGACACGGTTTTCCTGAGCTTATGGGCAGCTTCAGCAGCATAAGGTCCCTCTCACCCAGCGAGCTCGCATGTCGACGGCATTTCCTGTTTAATTTATTGAACGTTTAATTGTTGCCCATGTTACCAAATAGGGTAAGAAACTGCGTTGGAGGGAATCAGAAGTGAAAATGCAGAAGAGAAAAAAGGGAGGAGAAACAACAAAGGGTAGTGAACAACGGCGAAGTGAGTTAGCAGCGGCTATAAAGGTGGATACACACTGCCACCATGCAGTGATGGTGATAAAAAGAAAACTAACCATATTTTGCCATGGATCTCTGGTGCAGACCCATCCTTGAAATTGGTGGGAATTCAATGGACCAGAGAGCACGTTATCGCTAATGTATTTTTTGGCTCACAGATCACAATTAAAATTAAATTCTGCCTTCTGCAAAATTAAATTGGACACACTGGTCTGCTGCTGTGAATCCTTGATCTCGGTTGGTCTCAGTTGAGCAAAGGAAAAAAAAAAAACAAATGATAACTATGGAACTTTTCTTGGGAGAGTATGTGAAATCCCTATCACAGCACAAGTTATTTTTGGGGAAATCTAGGATGTATGTGTTACTTTTCAGGAGAGAAAAGATTATTTTACAGGCTCTCCCTATTGACTGCTGTTCCTACAGATCATTCCATTCAAGTGTCTTGGCTGCAAAAATATTAATACAAATGTTGTTATGAGATGATGGTGTTCTCAATATTACATAAAATAAATGTTATCACTTAAATATTGTAAAGTGCCAGCATTTCTGCATGCTGCAGCTTTTTGCTAAGATGAGCGTACACTTGTCAAATGTTTTGAATTATGTATTATTCAATAAGTGAGCATGTGGTTAATTAAAGTAGCATTACTATACTGGGAGGTGATCAGATTGCAAACATATCTTTAACAATTGGCTCTTGTAAATAAAATAGAGGAGAGCTGATTGAGATCTGAAAATGGCAATAGATGCAAAAAGCCACCTTAGAGTGTTAGCTGATAAAATAAGAGTAGGAAAGTAATGACATGGTCAATATTAACTGCCATCGGATGGAAAGAAATCAGACTGTCAGGGATCTGTAAAATTCTTGCCAAAGTAGAACCTCATTTACACATACAGATCTTCATACCCTTTGCTAAGAAAAGCATATGTGACAGCTTAGGGGTTTTAGCTGCCAAAGATCTTTCACTCTGAATACAGTAAATGTCACATCTATTTATTTATCGTTAAATTTTGCTAAGTATCTGTAGAAATATTTGGATTTTTTCTATCATAATGTAGATGTTTAAAAGGAAAAGAATCCGGATTATAATGCAGCTGTAGCACCAAACCATATGGCTGCTAGATAGGAGCAAAAATGCACCACTGAATTACTGGGAGTAAACATAAACTGGATGCAATCTTCAGAAGAATATTAAATGGAATATATAAATACCAGAGTATTGCCATAAAATCATGCAATCAGACAATAGTAGCCATCAGGCAATAGATTATTTCACTTGCTGAAGGTAATCACAGTTGTACAGCAATTTACATTTTCTAAATGCCAGACTGAAAATATTAACTAATGAATCTTGGCAAGCACAGTGTTTCTACCAACCGCGGTGGTGGTTATAACAACATCTAGGCCTGTTTTGAGAGAGAGAGAGAAAGAGAGAGAAATAAGGCAGCCATCCTACACCCCAGCTTTATTAGAATCTATCCGGAGTCCCAGGTGCTCGAAACAGCCTTGTTTGTCTTTAATTCAGTTCAAGCCTTTGACTTCTTTCTTTTAAGAAAACGTCTGTGGGTGATTTATTGGTATATTGGGTGGAATTTGCACTGTGCTGAGCAAGAACAAATGGTCCAGTGGAATACATATTCAATGTTATGAATAGTGTCTGGCATGAGAGAGAACTCAAATTAGTGTGGGTGTTGCGCTGCCTGTTCTTTTGCTCAGAGACAGTTTCGGGATAAGTCCACTTAGATTCTACATCGTTGTGTGAAAAAGTTAATAACTTTCAGGAGAAAAGCCTGTGCCTCTGCTCAGTCTGGTAAAAAACTGAACTGGGGGCAATTGCCAACTGTACTTTCATATTTTGGGTCTCTCCTGTTCTTTTTATACTATGTGAAAGGAGAGGAGGCCTCTTCATCCCATCCACAGCCGTCTTCAAATTGCGAACTAAACGATCCTTGAACTTCAATTGGACTTTGTAAATTATCGTCGTGGGGAATAGACTCTCAGTATTCGTAACTGCAGTGCTTAGAATTAGAAATATAATATGAAGAGTTTACCTCAAAATTGGCCAGATTCATCAGGATTTCTTATTATCGCATATTGAACTAGCTGTGCCCCTGGGAACTCAAATCTAACTGATATTGAGTGAAGACTTTCTTTCCTGAGTTTGTAGATGAAGTTTTATATATGAGACAAATAGCAACTCTGAATATCTCTTTCTTTCTACAGATGATATGGAAGCAATTCCAGTCAAGCAGTTCGTTAAACACATCAGTGAGCTGTATTCTAATAACCAGCATGGGTTCTCGGAAGACTTTGAGGTACGATTTAATAATCCACCAATAAAATATTGTTTTCCTAAAGTTAATTGTGTATTAATACTCAGGGACTGTGCAACATCTGCGTGATGTTGTCATGTCAGGTAAATGCAACGCTCAAATGTATCAGAAGAAATACTGAAATACCAGTTTGCCACCAGGTATGAGCAATGTGGAACTGGACATTCACAGATGATTCTAACCACCACAGTTTTGGTGCCTTTTAAGAGGGACCCTCCTAGGTTTTTATTAAATAGGAAAAGCTGCCTGCAGTCCCCCAGGGATGACATGAAGATACAAGCAGTTGTTTTTAACTCCAGGCTTTTCTTATAATCTGCAGCTCATTTTACTGTTATTGCCCCAGAATTTGCTCCACTTAGTCACGCTGAGAAGTCACATACCCCTTGAGTAGCCCAAAAGGAGTAAAATAGTGCTCACTATGAGTAAGGGTAGGAGAATTTGGTCTTTTATGAAAACCCAAACTACGGGTCAGTTCCTGGAGTCGTTGTTCATCCTCTGTTCAGCCAGGAAAGATTGCTGTTGAAGGCATCGGTTATTTTGTTCCAGTAAAACCAAGGAGAAAGGCTTCAGGGTTTAGTTGGTAGTATTTACCTAATGTGACTATTTTAGAGTTTGCATCTTGTTACCTGTTTAGGACAGATTCTGATCTATAAATCTGCTATAAATTGTAGGTAATTCCAATGAAGTGAAAGTAGTTTTCCACCTCTGGTTACCAAACCCATATTGTGCAAGCAATAGGAAACACCACACAGTATGAGGATGGGCTACAGAGACAGGCCCTAATAATCTGAAGTCAGTATTCTCTGGCTAGTTTTTAGTCATTTATTTCATTCAGTGTAATCACAGTCACTGCTGAACTTTTGGAAGTATTGAGAAGCAGGAGGAGCCCCAGGAAATTGCATGGAGCTGTGCCACTGGCATCCCCACCAGCATAAGGAGGTGTGTTTGTGTGCTGCACGTGAATCAGAGAGGCAGCTCTGCTTACACACAAGGCAGTGAACCAAAATAGGTGGCCTAATATCATCTTTGCTTACTGCAGTGAAGACAAGAGTGTATGCAGGAATTGTTTTTAATGGGATCATTTAAAACATTTATTGTAGCTGTTTGGTTACTGTCTCTAAAGAGTGGCTGCTTTGTCTGATGCCCAAAAACCATTGTGTAAGTTAGAAACATTTTGTATTCATGAGGAAGGCAAATGTGTAAGGTGTTAAAGTGATTTAGTTCAATTGACTGCTGGCTGGATGGCTGAGCAGGAATATTGAGGCATTTAACAATGTTGATGGTATTCAGGACAAACATTTATTCTCCAGAGAGTAGAATTTGATCAGGATGATCAAATGCGACTCACTCTTCTCAATTATTTATGAATTGCGACCCCAGTGCTATTCATCACAGCTGGGTTTTACACCATTTAATTATTCAAAATAATCAGCAACACATCTGTAAACTTGGTCTGGCTTTAAGCAGGCTTTGCTTCAGCTGTCACAAAATCACTGCTATTAACAAATGTTGGACACCTTCCGCCTGTGTTTTAGCAAAGAAAAACACTGCTCTAATAGTCCTATATTTTCCCTTTCTCCTGGAGCTCCCTGCTGCGAGGGCCATGCGTGGCAGCCAGTCGGAGAGATGGCTTTGGCCAATTAGTCCTGTTCTGGGGGCTGCAGGGTCCCCACTGAAGGGAAGCTAAACTCCTCCAACTGCACTGCACGTGCCAAATTCTGTTCTCCATGCTGGCTTAAAATTTGGAGCATCTCCTTTGACGTCAGTATAGCTACTGCAGATGTATTTCTCCATTGCTGAGATCTCAGCTTCCTTCCTAGACTAAAGAGAAGGAATGGGAACACGACACTTGCTATCTTGGATAAACCAACCGGCTCCTTTTTATTGCTTATGTTCTGCCCTGCTGGCCTCGTGGTCCCAACTTTTGACCTTATGGTTCACAGTGGTGGAACAGAAGAATGAAACCCAGGTTTTTTCACAGACCCTGTAGGTAAAATGTTTCTCAAGTGTCTAAACTGACTCAGAGATCAAAGTTCCAGTTTTGAAAGCAGCTGAGGGCTAGAAGAGCCTGAGGGTACATTCATACAGCAGCTGTTGGACGTGGTGTAACTTCTAGTGGTGTATAAACGTGGTGGTGTAACTACCACCACTACCAAAGCTAGTGGTGTAACTTCTCGCGTCCCGTCAGATCCAGCCATGGTGTGTGTGCTGGAATTGTATCTGCCAGCTACAGTGAAGACTTAGCTAATGTTTTATGGGGAAACAGTAGGATTCCAGCTGAAACAGAAAATCTGGTCTTTCGGGGCTGCTAGCCTTGGGTACACAGCCACGGTATGCTAAGTGCAGCGTAGGCGCATATTCATAATGCACACAAAAATTTGTTTCAAACAGGTTAGCAGACTGCCACTGTGCCAGCAGACTTCACCCGGGACACGATATTGTCTGTCTACCTCTCTAATTTTTTGCCATGGGCAACTGTTACCGTTCTTGCACATAACAACATAAAAGCAACATGAACTTTTCGTCATGAGACCTTGCTGCTTTAGCAGAAATAGGATTGTGTGCTGATACCCAATCTAGATCACGTGCTGAGGGACTGGGCAGCATGCGCCAGTAATGGACCTCCAACCCCTCCCTGCCTGGGGAACTCCTGAAAAGAGGTATTAGATTCTGCAGTCATATGGGCTTTTTACAAAAGATCTGCTTTTTACATCTAAAAGGAAGAGAGAAGAGGATGGCAAGGAGATGATGAAAAAATATGACCAATGCTACAGAATAAATAAATCTTTCCAAAGATAGCCAGCGCATAGGATTTTTTTAAAAGAAAAAAGGATCAAAAATATCTTCAGAAATTTCTGTGGCAGGAGGTTTTATGGTGGAGGCTGTGAAAGGAAAGACTAAGCTAGGCACAGATATACTCTGATGTAGAAAGTAAATATTCTCCATTCATTTGTTGCTAGTTTTTGGTGTAAGTCTCTTCTCGTGTTCTTGGCAGCTTTTTACATGAAGAAGATTTCTTTGAAAGTAAATTGTGTGAATACTCCCTCCTCCTCGTAAAATGAGCTGTAATTACAGCTAAATATTTTGTGAATGTGCTTAGGAAGGGTATATGTGCAGAGGAAAAAAAGACTGAACTCGCAAATCCTTCCTTGGAAAATATATCCAAAATGAATCCTTATTCCCGTTGGGTAATCATACTGCAAGTAGCCAGTTTTATTGTCTGGTGATAGCTGGGCTTTCTTGTATATACAGAATTGTTAAGATTTTCTTTGAGTCCTATTAATTTTCAATTTTTGATATAAACTAGTAATATGACGCCCAATTTAATACTGAAGAACAAATGGCTTTTTAAAATAAAGTCCATGATGCTGCATCAGCAGTGCTGGTCTCTGATATAAGTCTTTGTATTCCAACTTGGAATTTGTTCAACCTAATACTGAAAAAAGTTCGAGGAGGTTTTTTGGTTTGCTCTCAGGCAGCTCCAGCACCCTCTTGCTGTGGCATACAGGGTGAGGTACCACATTTTTACAGGGCAGCACTGGGGCAGGGCTTGGCGGCAAGACTGCGCAGAGACCGAGAGGCTTCCCGAGCCAGGGATTGTATCTACTCCTTGTCTAGCCAGAGACTTTCTTGGCATCCTTATGTTTAATAGATTTTGATAAATCTTTCTTCTACAAATTTCTGATTGCCTCTTGAACCCTTTTAGACTTCTGCTGTCCAAAGCATCCTGTGGCAATGAATTCTACAATTTGTTCACAAGAATGGACTTCCTTTTTCTTTTAACTCATGCCTAATAACTTCTCTTGGTGCCTCCTAGTTTTTGCATTACATCCCTGTTCACTGAAACGCCTCACATGATTATGTCTGCATCCCTCATATTCCCCCTTAATCATCTGTTTTCAAATCTGAAGAAGTCTAAACTATTTAATTTGTTTGTTTGAGGAAGCCATTCAAGACTCATGATGACTTGTTCCCTCTGTACCTTTTTTCCTTCCCTTACCATATCCTTTTGAAGATGAGAAGGCCAAAACTGTGCACAGTATTTAATGAGTGGGTTTACTGCAGAGTTCTGCGGGAGCACAGTGATGTTTTCTCTTTGGTTTTCTATTACTTTCCTCCTTCCTAACATACTATTTGTTTTTTAACAACTACTGAGCACTCAGCTGACACCTCCAGAAAACTATCAGCTGTGACCCCAAGGTCTCATCACTGAATGGCAATAGCAAATTGAGAACCTGTCAGTATGTATGTATAGTTAGGGTTGTTTTTCCCAAGTACATCACTTTGCATTTATCAACATTGAATTTCATTTGCCATTTTATCACTCAGTCACTCAGTATTGCGAGATTGTTCTGCTTCCCTTCACAAACAGCTTTTGTTCTAATTATCCTGGATAATTCTGTATCGTAAACATACTTTGTCTCTTCTGCAGTCCGTTTATGAATAGATTAGGTGCCCGTAAGGTCCCACCGGTGAAATCTGAACACTGACAATTCCTGGGCACTGAGGCCCACCTTTAAATTGTTGGTACACAAGGCGAGTCTTCCTTTTGCTCCAAGACAGATCAGTCGCTAAAGTAATGTTTTCTGAGAGGCATTTCACAAACACGTTGGAAATCCAAACACGATATTCTCTTTCAGACTGCTCTTGCCTATGGACTTCTTCAGGGACCTCTCCAGAGTGTTAGAGACATTCACTAGCTCTGCTGTTTATTACAGCGTCTAGCAGTTTGCCCCACAGAGAAGTCAGATTTAGTGGGCTGTAGTGCCTGAAATCCCTTCTGGATCTCATTTTAAAAACTGATGTCACATTTGTCATTTTCTATTCCCCTGATAGCCTGACTATATAGGGCATGTGCCCTCCAAATTCTTGTATCAAAAAGAGTGTGAAGTGCCACCTCCCACGGTGGCTTTTCACTCCCTCCCCCCCGGCCGGTTACTGGAATAACACGGTAAGTTTTTTGAGTAGTCGTGTCCTTTTGC